GTAAGCATAAACATTTTAAAATTCAATTGAATACCATACAAAAGTCGATCCTCAACCAGCCATAGCTTTTGAGGGCCAAATATGAATTACTGCCCCATTGCATGGATTAGTACTGCAACTTGCAATTATGCCAAGCAGCCTTTACTTATATGTATGTTTTTACAAGCATAAGTTTCCACTGCGGATCCAGGCATGATAAGTCGTTTAAATTGGACTGTGTCCTTGCATCGTTTGTACGCCCAAGACCCATGACGGTGTCAAAATCATTTAGCATGACTGCCTTTCTAAATTGTTGTGCAGTTGTGTGTAGTTACAGCCTTGAATTATTTGCTGTTTACTTCTCTTTATTGCCGTAACTGCCACTGTATTCACGTTATTGCACTACACAAGTACTTATATACGGTGGGTAGTGATGAGTAAAAAATGTAGGGATTCCTAAATAAATATAAGCTATACGAGTGTTAAGAAATGTCATAAACATTCTAAACGCATGTTAAACAAAGTTAGATTTGTAGCTTTGTGGGAATTAAACATTTTTAGCATGCTTGCCAAGTGTTATATTTCACTAAGATACATATATAGATACCAACACTTATGTGGCGTTTCTGTGGAAAGGGAATGGAATTATAAAATTTTATATATTCTATCCGATCAGCTTTAACCTTTGTCAAAATTCATTGAAGGCGTGTTTCGCACGTAATCCTTAAATGTTTATATTAAAACATAGCCCGACCAAGTGATATCTGCGGTGTAGGTTGTTGTCTTATATCAAAACTGTCACTATGTCATACGGATTATCTCACAGATTATAACATACATTTGGTAAACACATCTGATATTAAAATGTACATTTGCTGCAATGACGAATGGTAGTTATGACATAATACAATAAAGCTTATATAAAAGCTTTTTAAAAGGAATGTGAATAATTTGGTTGTTCTAATTATGTATGTATATCACTCTATGGCAATGATGTATGGTTATATGACTGTCTATTAATTATAGTTGCCACACACTTTTGCGCTTCAGCTTACATAATTGTATCTACCATATATATTTTGATTTGGTTATTATAAGTAAGCGAATAGAATGTCGGGACCACAGTTTGTTCAATCAATTACAAAGATACGCCTTAGTTCATATGCTAGCGTTACGGGTGCATGCCTGTGTCAGTGAGTGTATGCTATAAGCAACGAGCCGTAAATGTGAAACACGAATAAAATAATCATAAAAATGAAGAGTTTTACGCAATCCTAACCGGGCATTCAACCATTAGCTACACACTGTGAGTGAGAAAAAGCACTCTGGACGCAGAGTCTGGGGCAGAGGCAAGTGTGACGCTGTTAACTAGAGCAGACGTGCCAGTCAAGGCAACTTGTTGCTATTTCACGAGACGATTTATAGAGATGTCAAAAGTTTTATATATTTGCTTGTTGTGAGAGTGCAGCCATGCTCATTGCACATTGAAAATAATTTTGTCTGCAGCAGACAATGTGTACTTCTTGTGTGTGGACACAATGTGAAGGAAAGACAACTAATTCAAGGTAGGTTGCGCCATCAAAAAATTAATTGTATAAAATATGATAAATAGGATTTGGTGGTTGTTGTGAAGCTAGGTGTCGTAGACGCTTGCCTACCAAAATCTTATCGATGTGATGATTCATTATTCCACTCGTATTACAAATAAAAATTTAATTCAATTTTCCATTATTGTTAATTGTAAGATGTCATAGACCCTAACCTATCGTAATATTTGCACTACATATGCATACATACTACATGCATATATACTTTATTCATATTTATGAATGTTCGCCGGGCGCGTGTTGCCTTTGTTGCGCTCAGCTGCGAGTGGGAAAAACGAAAGTGTACTACAGCTACAAGCGCTATAAGCTGTGTTACGCCATATGCATGCACAAAGGCACCACTCGCAGATTACAATAGTTTAAGAGTAAAAGCAAGACTGGCATGTCAACTAGTCTAATATTTTAATGATGCCCTTCCGCGTGTGCCAACAGTTTCGCACGGTGTGCATTGACACTGTCTTTAGTCGTGAAGTAATTTTACAGTTCTCGTTTATGTGCTTTTTTTGAACCTCATTTGGCATTGACATTTTTTTATAAAGAGGAAGGAAAAATTATCTGTTGGGAGTTCCGTTCAAAACCCATGCAGTTATTGTAAATTAACACGGTTAATAAAGTTGTGTTCATGTTTAGCCAAATAATTTAGTTTATTTTTAGACACATAAGAACATTTTCACTGTGTTCAACAGACTGTGCGAGACTGTCTTTTTCGTATACAGCAGGAATTAGGAGTTAGTGGCTATAAAACTATTATGATGACATACTGATTTACAGACATACTACTTTTGTAATGTTGTATAAACGTATTACTTGCTCTTGTTAGCTTTTCTTTTTTTAAAGTAACCAACAATATTTTATATGGCGTCCGAGTGGACACCTGTCTAAAAAGTCACTAAAAAAATAGCTTTGCCAACCTTAGACAATTATAAACGATAATTATCAGTGCACGAATGAAAATAAATTTACTTGAGCGTGCTGGCTTTCACAATCATAATGTCACTTATCATATACAGCTTATAGGGCTACCAACCAATGTGTCTTTCTTTTCGCCTTCACTATGTCATGCTTATGTATTAGTTATGCCATCAATATGTTGTAATTATATGCATTAACACCTGACCCCACAGACCATATGCTGGACTAGGTTGATTTCTTTTTGCGGCCACTGCATTTTAATTCCATTGCCAATAAATAATTAACAATTACCAAATCTCTTCTCAATACATACAAACGAATGACAATAATAAACAGCCAAAAATACAAACAACGTGGTAAAGTAATTTTTACTTCGTGTGTATGTATGCATTGTATGTATGCATTGTAACAAGCGATATACATACCATAACAGTTTTCGGAAAATGAAAGTGGAATATGCAGCGCGCCACCGCTCATAGTTCAATGAAGGCAAATTGAACGAAGGAAAATAATACGTGCACGTAATATTAGATTGTCTTTACAAATGTTTTTTATTATTGCCTCCAATAAAATATTTTATATAAAGTCTTATATACATTTTTACATTGTGGGTATAGCTTCTTAACCCAAAGAAAATTCTAAAGTAAATACAAAATCCAAAATTACTACTACTAATTAGTGTATATACTTGTACTACTTGAATTTGGTAAAATTTTTATTTCGACAGTTCAAAAGTTTAAAAAATTAAGTGAGCTGTGTTTGCAAATTATTTACAGTTATTATAACCGCAATTTGTTTGGTAACATATAGCGTTCACGGTACTCAAGTGTTGCATGTAATTAATATCTGCGCCATAAGCGAGCTAACTGATTGGCATAGCTTACATAAGCCCGATATCTTGTGTTTTGTTAAGTGGACAGTGCGAGCTGGCCAATCGCCCGGTTCGTTGTTATGCTTGAAAATGATTATGTTACATATTATTCATATGAATGTATGTATGTTAGGTAAATAGATCAAGCAAGCTAACATAATTAAGTATCTCAAAACGGCTTTCTGTGAGTAATGAATTGTTGATTTTGTAAACACGGCATTGGCTTTGCAATTGATTTCAATAAGGGTCGAGCCTAAGGAAAGTCCTGGAATATAATTATATACATGTCTTAGACTAACAAGTTTTTGCGATTATTGAATAGAACTACTTCTGAAAAACTTAGGAGAATGCAATGCAAATGCGAAACTTAGTTTTTTTTTAAATACCCAGGAAATTCGACGATTCATAATATCAATATTATATCAAAGTGTATTTAAAATATCCCTATCACATTAATCAACCATTTGTTCGATTTAAATATCTCAAAACGGCTGATTTGATTTCGAATTTAATTTTATTTTCCAACTTTGTCAAATTTACCTTAATCAAAACAAGTTTTGCTATTCACTATTCTATTTATAACGAGTCTACCATTTTCTTATCCATATAAAACTTCTAATATGTCTATAAAAATTGTTTTTATACCCTGAACCCATTAAAAATGGGTATAAGGGTATATTGTATTTGTGCAAAACCCAAATGATTGCAACAGGCAGAAGGAAGCATCTCCGACCCCATAAAGTATATATATTCTTGATCAGCATCAATAGCCGAGTCGATCTAGCCATGTCCGTGTGTCTGTCCGTCCGTCCGTCCGTATGTATGAACGCAAGGATCTCAGAACCTATAAGAGCTAGAGATGTAAGATGTTTAGATGTAGATGCTCCTAGTTCCCGCGCAGATCGAGCTTGTTTCCGATAATTGATAACTTACTCCGTTTCCAAGCAATCGATAAAAATCGATATCGATATTCTGTTTTTTTGGGAAATTTTGGTAAATAATAAGAGCTGGAGTCACCAAACTTGACATATAGCTTCTAAAATAGAATATTTATATATATATATATATTTGATGTTGGAAGAAGTGGGTTCAGGGTATGAATAAAGAATTCAAAGTGTGGCCATATTAACATACTATAATATCATATCATTAGATTTTACCTACAGACTGCTTAAACTTGTTTCTAAAACTTAAACCACTTTACTTTAGAAGTCTATTTCTATTGTATATCTTCAATTTTCACTAATTAAAGAATCATGTAATTAAAGAATGTTATAAAATAATCCGAGCTGTTAAAATTGAAATGAATTCCCCAGAAGCACTTTTTAGCACAGATTACAGTTCAAAGTAAATGGTCTCAACCAATGACTATAAATAATTTCATAACTATAACATCCGTAAATTGTTTACCTAAGACTTATGATTTTCGCAAGATCTTGCCTCGTGCTTTTTTGTGAGCTGCAGAACATTTTTTCAAGATGTGCTCAGTTTATGTAAGTTGATTGAGCTGATTTAATTTCGTTTAACTTGATAGTCACCTAAAGTCTTCAAGATACAAGACTTCTTAGCAACAAGTTTGTGTCTTAAGTCATTTGATTTTGTTTTTAATATGCATTCAAATACGAGCTTACCTGTTTCGAATAACAATAGACATAATCCCAGAAGCCTGTATAAGCTACGTCGATGTGTTGAAAACTGCATGTTGCTGTTGGTATTGCGCATCACTGTAACTGTAAATTTTCTTGCTGCAGTTGCGTTTTTTAGGTTAATTCACAGAATTTCAAATACCAAAATGCAAGCACAGGCCGACATTCAAACGGCACGGCAACAGCAGCCAAAAAAATGCCAGTCTTTACTGCAAACAAAGGCTTGATGTATTTTCTTATGTATGTAGACACATAAGTATGTAAAAAAAACAGTGTCGAAATCTTTCAATTTAGATTTTTTTCGTTTTCAAGCATTTGTGTTACAGTTTTCTTGAACTGTTCGTTTTTTTCTTGACTGTGGGTGCACTTTGATTCAGTTTTGTTTCTATTTTTCAATGTGTGGTTGCAGTTATTACTGCCGCAGTTGCTGACTGCCCCCAATTATTCGCACATTCGTTAGTTTTAATCACAACTTTGTTCACACACACACTTTAATTTCAACATTTGGTTTTACTTATTTTTTTTTTAGAAAACTATTATTTTCTTTCTGAGAATCTGCACTAACCTATAGTTCAATCAAAAATGATTTTAAGAAAAACACTTTAAATAAAGAAATTACGTTAGATTTGTGTTGGTAAAAATACAGAAACTAAGATTGACTGCTTAGCGGCCGCACTAAAGAAAACCGAAAAAATATATGCTAGTAATATATATTCAGGCGAAGAAAATGTAAAGCGAATTAAAATAAACAAACAGCCAAGCTTGAGAGTTTTTGTTTTTGTTGATGTTTTTCTTGGCGAAACTTTCTTTTTGACGTAAAGCCAGTCCGAATACGTTTGCCTTAGCTTTTTCGCGCACACATGCTCGTTTCTTGAACTATGAAATGCAGTTGTGGCTGCTTTCTATACGTAAGTTAGTTGAGTGTAATAGTCACGAATTTAACAGGTCGAGGCTTACAGGTTTATAAACACATTGATATGTGATTTTTGTAATGCTTCAAACCGTTTTGAACTTTGCACACGGTGTTCTTGAGCAACAGTTTATTGCACTTCACCAATTGTATCAGCCAAAACACTTCTTACCGTGCGCTGAAGGGAACACGTCCTAATCGAAACACCTAACCAACGCGACTGTGCACAGCAAGTGCTTCAAGTAAGTCAGCTGGCCCAAGCCAAGCCAGATTTCCACTCCAAGCTTGGTCTCCGTTGTGGCTGGCTGTTAGTTAACAGTACCCCTGTTACTGTTGCTGTTGTCTTGGTCTGCTCCGCGCAATGGCGTTTGCTTTGACGGTATCTCTTAAGCTTATGAAAGTAAGAGTAAAACCTGTCTTACTCACAAAAGATTTCGTTATAAAGTGGCGACTAGTTCATGTTACTCTTTAACTATTAATATTTGCTGGTAGACTGTGAATTGATATGGCTTTGCGAATTTGATGGCTTAATTTTAATTTTTTTTAATGTGTTGTGTTTTAAAAACACATCGATCTTAAACGCCACTAGCCACTTGGCTAATAGTTTTATTAGGGATTGTGTATTGAAGAAATAATCACATACTTATCGTAACTCCGCACGGGGTATTCAAATGTTAAAATGGCGCATTCAATCTACAAATTTATAATCTATAATAAATCAAATCAAATCAAATACTTATCGTAACCCCGCACGGGGTATTCCAAAGTGAGGGGTTGTGATTAGTATTTGATTTGCTTCACCGATTATGCCGAATGTAAATGACGTTTTCTTTAGTAGCAGACAATTTTATTTCTTCCACGGGCTGGACATTGGTGCAAACGTAAAATTTAAAACATAAATAAAGCATTGGCAGGACAAGCGCGGATAACATCCTCTGTGAACTTTCTACTTTACCCAACACAGAACTAGTTACCAATACTTTTATGCATGCGTGAGTGTGTATATAGTTTCTCTTATAACGAAGGCAAACCAGGTTTATTTAATTGTTTTGATAACTGCCTTGCAGCACTGAAAATAAAAAGAACGTATTTTTTAATTTCGCCCTACTTTGCAATTCTTATGACTTCATGTAAAAAGTATGGTTTTTATTCTTTGAATATAAGTGTTATAATAACAAGTTCTGTTGGAAATCTTATCATCTTGTATGGAGTATACATTGCGTATACATTTTTGTATTTATTAAGTTATGCCTGTATACATGCATCTATGTATGCAGGTTTGCTAAAATTGTTAAGCACATGCTATTTATGCTATTTCGGAAGGAAAGTGAGCATCAAGACATGAAACCATTGCTAATAAATGCTAATTTTTCATGCGTTTAACTTCGACTAAGCAAGTGCGAACCGAACAGCCAATTGCAATTAAGGCAGATTTTCATATATATTTTATTCATTGATTATACGTAGTTTATTTCGTACCAAGTTTTATGCATCCTAATTGTTTACTATTTTTTCTCTCATTTGCTTTTGTTACAATTCTCTCTCTTCTTCTTTTATTTTAGTGATATGAAGGAAATAAAATAAACGATGGTGATAAAGAGCATCTTTGGGTAAGTGCATATTTACATTACGTATATACAAATATGAGCAAATATTGGGGTGATTCGGATCTGAGCACGGGCCATCCTCAAGAATTTATAAATATTTAAAAACAACTTTGAATGGAAATAGCGTACAAAAATATAGTGCAGATAAAATTCCCAAAGCCCTGAAATAATACTAATTTTCTTTATAAAAGACTAATAGTCTTAGAAAACAAAAACAACGACTACAATACAATAATAAAAAACACACTGCACTCTATTCTCTGTTCCAACCTTTGTGAACCATTATTAAGGGAAGACCAGCACGCAGATGATGACCATTTAAATCGACATGGCTTCTTGAACTGAACAAGAATATATAGACCTTTTGTAGTCGGAGATAACTCCTGCCTGGTACACACTTTTACACAAGACCATTTAGACCCTCCGAATGAATGCCTTTTGTTTAAAACTAAATATGAGAATGTCTCAGGGCCCTTCGAACGAACTATCAAGACTATAGTGGATACACAGGTATCTGGGTTAACTGCTGTGTAATGTATGTAAAATATACACGCTTGGTCAGTTAGTCATAATGGCTTGGCTGCACAAATATGTCATAGTTACGCCAAAAAGTTATTAAGTTAACGTACATTTTCATACACAAATTAATCTACTGTGCCACAATGTCTTAATTATAAAATTCAACCGACAATTGACGCTTTAAATTTGTGTTAATGTTACCAAAAGTTTTTGTCATTTTCAAATCCATATGCCGCTGCAAAAGGTTCAGGCGGCGCCCCTAAAATGTTTGCCATTCACTTCACAAATAGGCGGCAATAATATATCAAGTTATAACAATCTTGTTGCCGTGTCAAACTATTATCATACCTTGTACTCATTAAATAAGGTAGAGACGGTAAAAAAAATTGTGCAAATGTATTACCTGCTGGTTAGGTCATATGTAGAAAAATACATCAAAACGTATGTTTAATTATATATATATTTATATATAAATATCCTCTCTCTGTGTATATAATTTAAAAGTATGTGTTCAAAACCACTACACTATAAGCCGATTGGCAAGAGCTAGGGCAATATGAGCATAGCAGTCCCTGGTAACTTATATATAATAATAAACAATCAATTTAACTCTACATTGCACATTGACAAAAATACCTCAATTTTGAGTGTGTACATTAAACCGTTAAGTATTCAGCCTTGATAACTTCCCTATTAATGCGTATAGCAAACAGTCAATTGTAAGCCCAAAAACCAATACATGCATACATGTCCAAATCTACATTTGTAACGGCCTTCACGGCAGATTGTACATTGTATCTACTTGCTGTGGTCGAAACACCGATCTATTGTACTCGCAGCTTGGGCAAAAATGGGAATGCTGCCATGAAGAAAAGCTTACGATCTAATGGCCGTGGTGGTTGAAAAAGCTTTTATGAAAAGGCTAAATACCTCAATTAATTAAACCGCTCATGTTATTAAAGTTTTCATATTTTACGAGTAAAACAATATTTGAAGGAAAACTTCTTAAAATATAAAATATATGTCAAGTTTTCCCAAAAATATAAAATCTCTTTTAATACAAATTCTCATTATGTCAAAGAGTTCGCAATAATAGCCGAGAAAAACTTATATACAGTATATATGGTAAACATTTGGAATATATGAGTCTAACTTGAAGTTTCCGTTTATATAAGACGCACCCACTCACCAAGGCAGCAAAGCAAACTTTACAGCCACAGCTAAAAAATTCGAAATCAGAACAGTGACAGAAACAACGGCAACAATGTGAATGCAACGACAACAAACGTAGCAGCAACCGACTTGCTGACCTTCTCCACGCCTTGGAGTGACTGTTTCGCAATTACCGACTGGGCGGCTTTTGAACGTTACAATTGCTGTATTGGGCCCCATAGACGCCGAGGCGGGTGCTGCAGTTTTTATGCATATAGAAGCAGGCGAACGAGCACGACCGCGCCATTTAAATTGTGGCACCTAGAAACTAGAATTTACGAGAACCGGCTAATACTTAATACAAATGCTCCAGAGCAAAATATTACGGCAGCTGCACAATATAGCCAGCTGACCAACCACGCCTTGACTGACAACTTTTCCTAAGTACGACCATTGATAGTTCATTTTTGTTTATTTTATAGTAGTATCTGACAGATTGGACAGATATTAAGCATATGTACATCAGAATGTAAATACAACAATTGTAGTAGCACAAAAAATAAGTGTAATATATGCCAAGTACTCAATTCCAAAACCCCAATCGAAACAAGATCTAGTTCCTGCTAATAGCTTGCATTGCGGAAGTAAATGAGTTTTTCACAAAGGCTAAATTGAATCTTGTTAATTAGCGCACCGATAATTTACCAATTAGTGCAAATTCAATCCAGCTGTGCACAATTGAAATAAAAATAATACAATGCAATTAATTACCAGAAATAATATATTGATTTTCGAAAAGTTTATAATACGCTGCTTCATGCTCTTCTTCAACTTTGTATAGCCTTGCTAAGAAGCAGAACTTTGGTCTAAAATGCGCAGATGCCAAAAAGTGTATTAAGAGTCTGTATGCTTATTGTGTTTATTGCAGATACTCAAATCTTGGTAGAGGTTATCTCCAATAACTCTGACAAGAGCACACCAAATTGTTTTAGTTTGCATTATGTATGCTTAAGTGTCAAAAAGTAAAAGTACTTCAGCTGAACATTTGACAACCAAATAACCGGAACTCAAACTATTACTGTAAAATAAATACTTTTAAATTTGGCAGCAACTCAAAGCTGCGTAGAGGGTAACCTCTGGTCAAATAACTTTGACAAGAGCAGTTTCCATTATACTTGCTTAAGAGCCAAAAAGTAAAAGTACTTGAACATTTCACAGCCAAATAACCGCAACTCAAACTATTACTGTGGCTTAGTTTCTGCTACTGATTTGTCTTGTCTTGGCCTATGAAGACATTCTTTGCTCTATTAGAAAAGTGTATATATACAGTAAATACACAAAGATCATTATTTAACAATTAATTGTACATTTTCAGAAACATAAGTGCATGCATATATGAATATACATTCTTATGTGTATTATAAAAAATGGGACTGTCGTTTGACGCGTGTTATTTGCCTAAATGAGTAACTGGATCAATTTAAAAACCAGTTTTTTGCTTTTTTTACAGCCGACTGAGTATCGAATGCAGTTTTTATACCCTGAACCAATTGAAAATGGGTAAAAAGGGTATAATGTATTTGTGCAAATGTATGTAACAGGCAGAAGGAAGCATCTCCGACCCAATTAAGTATATATATTCTTGATCAGTATCAACAGCCGAGTCGATTTAGCCATGTCCGTCTGTCTGTCCGTCTGTCCATCCGTATGTATGAACGCAGGGATCATAGAACCCATAAGAGCTAGATACTTCAAATTTTAGCTGTAGGTCCTCCTAGTCCATGCGCAGATCGAGTTTGTTTCCGATATTCGATAACTTGTCGCGTTTCCAAGTAATCGATAAAAATCCATATTGAAATCAAATCAAATATAAAGTATCTTTCATTGTATAGCTATCGTCATCATCCCGCTACCACCATAAGGCTATAAATCAAGTAAATAAACCAATTTATGCTGCCCGCCAATATAAGCCACAATTTAAATTGCGATTGTGTTCTGTGCTGGATGTTGAGTAGAGGCATAGCAAGCGGTGCGGTCTGCCGCGAGTTCGAGCCCTACCGGGGAAACTATTATATTTGTTTGGCTGGTATGGCTGTTGAGTAGAGTCGTCAGCAAGTAATGGTCAGTTGCGTATTCAAACCCTGCCAAGGGAACTTTTTTTTTTTTTAATTAATCTTTAAACTGCGCGTTGCGCGAACTGCATTTGGTATTGGAATAAGAGGGTTCAGGGTATTCCCTAGTCGGGGGCTCTCGACTAGCACTCCTTACTTGTTGTAGATATGTTATGTCTCAGTTAGTAATACAACAAATAAGATTGTAATCAACTAAGAGTAATTTTAGTTTTTCTGCACAAGAATACAATTAAAATTATATTATATCAGATATCTTTTTAATAGCCCTTCAGAGGCTATACAATTTTGTCATGAAATAAGTAATGCACTAATGCAAATATCACCGACTAAGTAAAGTATATACAAATATATACGTATATCGGAATCAACAACGGTACAACAACGGTATACCAACTAGTATAGAAACGATTAAGTTCTTGTGTAGAGCTTTATATATAAGTTTGAAGCAAGTCGGATAAATCCTAAAACGGCCATACCATACATAAAGATCTAAGCAATATTAAAATCGGATAAGATTTGACCAAGTTGTGAATGGGGGGAATTTGGTTAAGATTTGCCCGACTTATAGGGTGGGAAATGTTGACCGATGTCAATATAGGATATTTGAGGGTACCATTTTCACATGAGTTTTGATCAAGAATGAATTTCGATCTACAGCTATATACGATAATAAAGGGTATACCCCGACTTAGCCCGTGGCACGTTTAAAATAAATTATTTCAAAAGATCTGTGAATATGAGTTTTTGACCGATCGGCCGGTAAGCCAATTCACCAGTGTTGCGGGCGATGTTTCTCAGTTATTCATAAAGTTCTTATGTAGCGCTTTGAATATAAGTTTGAAGCAAATCGGACAAAACTTAAAACATCACTAAAAAAATATAAGGCACGCATTTTTCACCGAGGCAGCTTTGATTTGGCGAAAAAGTTAACAAGGGGCTCAGATCATTTTATATTCGTATAGACCCTTGGAAATGAATTTAAGCGAGAAACGTCATCCACCAAATCTATGACCCGCATTTCTACCAAGGAGGAATGCATAACCATATTTCTTTACATAAGGGGAAATTAACGGTAATACCTAACTCGCTCACTGCATGTATGTTTATCCCTTTATTTAAATACCAGCCGAAAGGTATGCCATCAATTTTGTTGATTAAGCTGGTATGCCTATATTAAGGTAAGAGGAGACCGTAAATGCGATCTATGCAATTTGTTATGTTATGCATTGTCAGTTAACACTAAATATAAATGTCAGTATAAGCTATCGGCTATTGTTATTAAATATTTCTTGATTTATAAAAATACCTAAGCAATTGTCCGCAATTAGTTAACTATAATTTTTTCGTGGCAGCCTCGAGGTATGCCAAATATTTTTTTGTCCTAACTGCGATGTCAATACTAAAATGGCCCTCGTATGCGAGCTACTTAATGGGTCGCGCTCCCAAAAGTCATTAACATCTACCAGCCTCTCTGGCGTATTGTATTATTAAGGAATTGATGGATAAGCGATAAAGATTAAAAAAGGGAAAGCCTTCAGCTTTCTGAGAGTCCAATGACTCGAGGGACGGAACCTAATTAAAAGAAAAACTAATATCGCGGGCTATAGCTGTTCCGTTTCGTAGCTATACTCAACTCATAAATATATAAAGTTTTCCATGTTATTGTTTAGTATTTATTAAAATGTATTTTTTATGAAAGTTATCTTGAAAAAGGTTTAGATTTCGGCTTGGGTAATTTGCATACAGACCAAAATTATAAATCGCAATAAATAAAACGGGATACGAATTTTCCAGGAGCTCGTAGGCTTTAGGTATTGCATACTTTCATGCGACTCAATTTAAACTTGCCGCAAAATGTGGTTTGTTGACTTTTGCGAGTAGACACAGTGCCAAGCCAAATTCGATATTTTTACCTGTTACCAGACCCAACTCACCAAAAAAAATTAATCTAAAACTTTAAACAATAAGTTTGCCATTATTATCGACAAATTCCATAAAAAAATATTTTACATTTTTCTAATTTCCTTATTCCTTGATTCAGTTTTTATTGCATACTTTGGAATGTATGTGTATGCAAACAAATTTATACATACCTGCATACGTATTTTATAAAAGATGGCCTCTTTGTCATACATTTTCATATACTCAGATAACCATATTGGTGTATGTATGCATATATGTATATATGAAAGTCCACATAAATATAATTGTGTCAAACTATCTGCTAATGAGAAATGCATTGCGTGCATGCAAACCGTTATATAGAACCCATGTAGATGCCTTAAATCTTAATTAATCAACTCTCTGATTAATCCCTAAAATATCACTATACAAAGCTGGTAAACAAGATACAACCTTAAAGTTTAATTTAATTTACAAGCATAAGTAAATCCACATTTATATTAATTTACTACACCTACATACATATTTTTCAAGTATGTGTGAACATACATATGTAAATTAAAGTATTTTGTCGACTGAATTCTTATTGGGTATTTATTGTTATTTATTTATTGTTGTCTTTTATTAAGCATTAAAATACAAAATTAAGCTTAAATTACAAATATTGGTAAAAAAAAAAAAAAAAAACAGCAGCGAAAGGAATGCTACACAAAATAAATTATATTTGTGTCTGTGAGTGTTGTTTTAGTAGTGTTGGTGCCTGTCGGTGAGGCAAGAAAAAACAGAAAACAGAAGCAAAGCAGAAAATAAAGATCACAAACATACATGTTGACACACACACAAGGTGATAGCGAATGGTGTGCGCAAGAGAATGTACAACGGAATAAAATGTACGCTACGAGAACAAGTTTTATTATGAAAATAAAAACCCCACTAAAATACTAAAACAGCGGAGAACACATACTTAGAATTGCGAGCATACATATTTGTACATATATTATACACATATGTGTGTGTGCGTGTCAACATATATATATATACTGCTATATATATATCTCTATGTATATATGTATGTATGCATACAAGTATCAACACAATCCCACATCAGCGGAAAACTGGCTGTACGCCATCAAAATGTCTGCAACACAGACGCTCACCCATACGACTACAGCAGCAAAATATCATGAATGCGACGAACAGCACAAAATAAAATGCGTGTGTATGTGTGTAATAAAAACAACAGTCAGACACGCACGCATACAGTCAGCGACCCAACACGCAAAGCGTGCACAACAAAAACAACGTGAAATTGCAGTGCAAGAGTGTATGTGTGGCAAGCCGTCGTAGGGTATATGTATATGTTTTTTTCATTTTTCTTTCAGTTTCTTTTCGTTCGTTCGTCGAAACGCAAGTGTTGGTGAGGCTTCGACGCGTTGTTTCTTGAAAGGACAGAAGGAACTAATACAACCTGTTCATTTCTTATAGAAAGTATAATTTCAAAGTCATATTGCACTTTCTGCAACAAAATAATAAACAAACTTTAATCGCTTGATGATAGTATTCAAAGAAGAAGAAACAAAATACTCTCTTTTCTCTCTCTCTCTCTCTCTGGCTCTTTCGATCACCGACTGCTTCACATGCTCATTGAAATTGTTATGATTAGTGTTTTATTTTGCCATTTTTCACTCTCTCTCTCTCTCTCTCTCTCTCTTACTCTCACGCGGTCGCGACTTTCACGAAACTGTAATAGCACCACAAAATAAAAATAAAAATTAAAAAATATAGTAAACAAGGCAAGCCACATTATAGTAGTGACCGTCTTCGTATAAGTGTGTATGTGCGCAAATTGATGACAACGAAGCGTGTGTGAAGTGAGCAGCGCGTAAATCGGGTGCAATGAAATAAGTTTGACGAATTTGCAGCGTTTTCGTAAAAAGTGCAGTTAAAAATAAATGAGTACATATACATACATTAATTCATATATGTACATACAGAAGAATATAATTTAAATTTCTCAGGTAAGCTTATTTATTTCATATTATATAAATATAAAAAGAATGCTTATATATTAATCTTTCAGCATGTCAGGAATAACGGATTTCAGCTGAGCTTACTGCTATACATTCATATACATATATACACATCAATATATATACTCTAAAGCCTTTAACGCAAGCTATTGCTGTCCAAAAAATGGATGCACAATTTGAGCACTTGTGTCGCATTTGTGCGGCTAACACGAAATGTAAAAACAATTCTGTGGTAGAAAGTGTTTTTATTTTTAAAACAACTGGCTTGCAGGATAAAATAGCTCGTCATCTCTTCCTGAATGTGAGTAAAAAAATTTTAAGTTAATATATGTACAAGCATACACGTCTTTGTACCATATAGCCACTAAGATGATGCGTAGCCTGAACGTTTCTTTTTAACTTTATATGTCCCATAACGTAACCTATAAAATTCTACGATGTATGTATGTATGTACAAGCATATGGCTGCAGGTTTGTCTGTGTTTGTAAAAAATCTACTTACTAAGAAGTACAACTACAACGTGCATACACTCAAAGAAATTTGTACACGCATATGTATATATGTATATACGCGCATACCATTTCATTATTTGATTGTATTTGCGTGTGGGCGAATATGTCGGTTGAGCAAAGTAGGCAAAGAAAATTTTTCTAGCAAATAACGAGAAACGGCAAGTAGCAAAAAATCTCGTTTAGTCGTACCAATACAAGTTTACCAAGCTTGTGTCCGTGTGCTCGTATATTCGAATTACGTGCAATGGTAATTTCAGAAAACGACGAAAGAGAAAAACGAGCTGCTTGAGTTTACCTCCTGCTTGCATCTTGCTGTACATGTCCATGTTAATATTTTTATATTGTGATACATTTATGTATGCATCTATGACATTAAACGAAAATAATGTAGGTACATTTGTTTTAATAGTTAGCATGTTAGGTATAGATATATAATATTAATGTACTATGTATTTACAGGTTGCAGAAGATGACCCCCTGCCTAAAGTGCTCTGCAAATCCTGTTATCGGCAAGTGGAAGCGACCGCTTCACTTTCTAACATAGCGAAGCACACCCAGCGCGTGTTTCGAGACTTTTTGTTAAGCACAGTGGTACAAAACTTATTTTTACTTAAAACATTTAAATAGAAATTAATGGTTTTTAATTTTTGCAGCCCAAACATAATCGCCAAGCGACAGCAACACAAGTGGACTCATTATCCCCGGTGGTGTCAGTGCCTATTCAGGATATAAGTGAAACCAACCATCGCGACAACAATATTACGCGCCACAGCATCAATTCGAACAACAATGCATTTAATCCTATATTATTAACTCGTCAACCGGAGACGACCATTGCATTGAATACGCATCAATTGGCAGGGAATCAAGCACAGGACGATGTTGTAATCAGTTTGACTAACAAAGACAATGAGATGCGGCGCCAACAGAAGCAGCAACGCGAACCGAATGAATATCCCAATAGTCGTAGCAACGCTAAAATTAATAATCCAATGCTCCCGACTCGGCGGAACAGCGTATTTGTGGACATGCGATACAGTTCAGCACCGATGTCAATAGCACAGCGTTCAATGCAAATGCCGCCATCCTTAGCACCTTTACATTCTGAGGTGTCTATTGCCAAGGCCACGAAGAGTAGCCCAGAAAAGAGAAATTCACCAGCAGGTGTTATTAACTTCATACAGACTCATGGGCGCATCACAGGCAGTGCACCTACAATCACCACAAGTGTAACTAATAAGGGCTACAGTGGCGGTAATAGTAGTTTTATGCATGTCAGAAAGCCACAGGCTTCTTCTGCCTCACAGAGTGTCAGCAGTGCTGGCGTACCTATTCTGCCTAATAGCGTACTTCAACAAAAGCGACGGAATCTTAAAAACGCCTTAAACAACATCAATGCCATACGCGACGGGCAGGTATCCCTTTTAAAATCAGCTCATCAACGCCATACTGTGGAAGATATTGATATTAGACCCCTTGTCACTACCACTGTGGTACCACACCAATCGTTGTATGGAGCAGAACCGTCTGTGGAAGAGGCGCTTCCAGAACATATCATTATAGCTGCACCTAAAAAGAAAAAGGAAGAGCATGCTAATCAAGCCCTCTCAGGTCCACCGAAGCTACAAAAAATTTCAAAATCTGTGCGAGCACCTAGCGAAGCTGGTCCAATGCCAGATCCTTTACCAGCTGCTAAATCTAAAACACTACCAAGCATGAGCAGCCTTACCGACGCTATTTCGCTAGGTAATGTCATTCGAGATCCAGACCTACTGAAGCTGATACTTAAGGCCCTCAAATGGCCAGTCACAACCGATAATTGTGAAGAGCAAATGGCGAGACTGAAAAATTCGAAATTTGCGGTGATTATGTCGGACAGCAACCTTTTGCAAGATAACGATCTGACACAGCTACTGGGCCCATACCTAGGCCCAATGATGGCTATTGTGCAGCAACAGCGTCCAAATCCGTCCGCTAATTCTAATAAGACTCCTTCACCACCCGCGAGTCCGTCAGCAGCAACTGAGCTACAGACTATAGGAGACTGCACGATGCCGTATAAATTACCACCAGAAACTTCGGTACAATTGGTGCCATCCAGTCCAACAGATCAGGATCACCCACAAACATTAACAAATAAACCAGTGGACCCTCACTCAAAGCGACCTCAGCGAAAGTCACGTATGCGTGAATTGGGTGCAAATGGACAGTCTTGCACTGCAGACATTGCAAGCACATCAAATGCTGCACATGTTACCAACGAATTGCTCAACATTAATGCCATGTTAATCTCACAATTTGGCCAAAATCCAGCTGATGTAATTAACGAAGCGCTAATTTCTATGTTAAAGCAACAGCAGGCATCGAAAAGCCAGCGTCCGATTTGCCGTCGCCGTAGTGCTTCGACAAGCACTCCCCTGAATTTAGAAGATATTGTTCTTGTTGAACCACAACCATTACTGGAGACGCCGCCAGCACCTGATGGTGATATTTCGACCTTCCCGATGCCACTCCAATTATCTGAACCTCCCCCTGTAACTCGGCCCATTATCAAGCGGCGCAAGGCCGTTATGCAAGCGTCGAAGCAAAGTTGTCCAAAAACCAAAAGCAGAGAAGAGATTCCCATACCCAAAACAGATGAAGATAATTGTAAGACTAAGGGTGAACAACACGAGGTCACAGAGGAGACTGTCTGCACTGACGATCGTTCTCAAATCATAGAAACTTCTACTAACCAGCACACAATGGAAGCACCACAAGCACCTTCCAGCACAGTTCCGGAAGCTATTCCCATTAACAGCAGTAATCTAGAACTCGGCTGTGCTACTGAAGACACAGCGGCCAATATCGCCAAACCAACGATTGCAAGCACACGTAGAACAAATGTTAAGTCTGCGCTAGGCCAAAAACTTTTGGAAGCTATAGGCTTGCCGCAGCCGGGCAAAGACGCCCCAACGGAAAGTTCCCGTGACACGTTGCGCAGTGCATTAAAGCGATCGTTGAAACAGGCGCAAGAACAGCAGCAACAGCTAAAGCGCGTTAAACAAGAGGAGCCCGTAAAGCAGATGGCGGATTCGACTACAAAACCGGTTGCCGGTGACTCTTCGGAGGAACACAAAAAGGCTATTGCTGAGCGCGAATTGGCATTATTAAAGCGCAAAACAAAGAATGCAGAAAAAAACAGTTTGTCGGTCAAGGAGTAAGTATAACACCTGCTCCCAACCTCCTTTTTTTTATAAATGTAAATATAATTTTAGTGAGAAATCGGAACGCACGGATGTAAGCTCTTCGTCGTCACGCAACCGTAGAAATCGTAATAAGTCAAAAACTGATGTCAATGACGAAGACTCTGGTGCCGAAGAGAGGAAAAGTGACCGATGGGATGAAGACGATGATTTACCTTTGAAAACTGAATCAGAAAAAAGCACGGATCATGTTAATCGCCCTACGCGCACAAGCAAAACCATGTCCAAGTATTATAAGTCTCCTGGGGGCGACAAGGCATTGTCGACATCAAAGTCACAACATGCTATGGGAAGGCGATCGACCAGGCACCGTTAAATTGTTGAGTATGGCAGTTTTAATAATAAACTGTTCGCGCTCTCGTCTGGCATATAAAATATGCGCAGATATTGTTAACATTTTTCATATTTCTTTAAGACGCAGTGTACACAGTATATACGTACTTTATTCGTAAATAGTTTAACTATTATTCAACAAGAGTTGAATATATGAATTGTCCTTATAAGCAATCACGTTATATGAAAATATTAAAATGTTGTTTTCTTTGGCATTATTAATTTCTTAACAAAATGCTATTGCAAAACGGAAATGGGTATATTCCAAATGGCATTTAGCAATACTTTTTGAGTTCGTTTTATAAAGAAAACTTGGTTAAAAATATTATGGGCATTACCATCAATGCTTACCTTAATTACCAAAAATAACCATTTTTGTCCAAATCAATGTTTATTTAGAGCTGTCAAATTTTATTGTTACAATTATAAATGCTTTTTTTTAGCTTAGATTATTATAGAATAACAACTATTGTATATTGTTGGAAAGTTTAAATTTCATACTTTGTAAAGTGGAGTAGAGTATATTAACATTGTGCAGTGTCCATTTGTTTTTTGCTACTATGAAAACTTAAGACTTAAAACTTCGAATATTTATCTATATTTAAGTGCGGCAGGGAGGTTCAAGATTAGTTATGCTTTGTTTGATTAGTTTGACACCTGATTTAATTATCCTCACCTCTTTAAGTCCCAGTCACCTAAAATATATATATATGTAGAACTGTTTCTCCACTGAGTGATTGATGATCAACGCACAACCCAACCCGTAGACTCGGATAGTAAAGTTTTTACTGTAGTTATCGAATGGAGGTGTACGCTAAGACTGGATTGTGGGAAATTCTCCCCACCAGTATGGCAAATTACGAAGAGTAATTTGAGATGGGTTTCACAACAAAATATTTTGGGCGAAGTTTTAATTTTGTGCTATCTACTTCATACTTATTTTTCCCAAAATCCCACCCTCTTGGATAAAAAACGCAGGTTAAAGGTTAAATTGACGATAGTTTTGATATTTATATAAAATATAACTTTGGGTGTAAAGTTTCAAAAATCTTAAAATTTAGGAAAAAAAAATTTATAATATGTATATTGCTTTTTAAGATATAAACAGCCAAACTAGGAAAGTCCGATATTCAAAATCTTATCGTCGATCTGAAGTACATAGCTCCTACAAAATAAATCGGACAAATAACTAGTTATTATATGAAAGCACTTTTAAATATATACAAATATTTATAATATACCACATATAAACGAGGGTATTTAAATTTCGGCATGACGTATATCAATTGTTTTGCGAGCTATCTTTGCGTTCTCTCCGATATCGCAGGTGTACCGCAACAAATGGAATAAATAAAGAGAAAATATCTCACGGCCTCGCAAGAATCCGTAGTATGTATGTGAAAATGTACATACGCATAATGACAAAATAATTATAAGCAAAACATCAGTTGAACATTATACGCGAATAGCAGTGGTTGTATAGAAACCAGGGAAATTCAAATTGAATGTGACTATTACTCTTAATTTATTTTAACGTTTTATTTTTACTCTAAATACTTATTGCAAGGCTTCTCGCAAAAGGAGAGTGAACCCTAGTGGGAAATTGTAATGCTACGTTTCATATATACGTGCCCATATTTATACATTCAAATGTTCTCATTCTAACACACATTCAATCATTTATCTACTATATGCAATATTACTACGAGTTGCTTTTGTCACAGATAAGAGGCTTATTTTGAACACAACCGATAATAAAACTTTTTGGAAAGAGTAGACAGTGTAGACCGATTCAATGAGCTGCTGCTGTGGAAAACGCAAACGTGTAGCGGATTGTAACAGTAGTGATGAAGAGAATTATTTACATCTAAACTCTAATGATGTAAGTATATTATCTCAGTATGCATAGTAAAATATAATACTTTATCGCCAAGTGTAGAGGATATCTTGTAAAAATCTTGCAATTCTTTTATTATGTACATATGTATATTTTATTTATATAAATCCGTGTGTGGGCGTTATCAAGAGAAAAACAACATATTTATGTATGGACTATCATAAGTATAAAACAGTCAATAACTTTAGTGTGTAGTGTGTAGTAGCTTGTTGGAGAGCTGAGATTAATCTAGAGAGTAGCCAACACACCACGTTTGTTTTAGTTCAGCAAAAATCCAGAGAGATACACAAATTTAAAAATATATATGTGTTAACTTGTATACATACATTTACATACATTCAATTCATACGTTTGCTCGAAAAGAAAAAAGCAGAAAGTGAGAGAGAGAAAAAAAAAGAGGCAGAGCGAACACATTGAGTGCAAGCTCCAAGCATCTCAAAAGCGAGAACTTTTGTCGTGCTCGCTGTCAACCGGTTAGTATGACTGCAATCACGTTGTTAATACGCGAACTCTACGATCTGTCGGATGCATTTTGGCATAACGAATTTAATTTCGCACGAAGCCTACAATATTACCATACAAAGCGTCGACTACAATTGTTTTGGTTTTACTGTCGAGAACATTGGTTGCGTCAGTATACGAGCCTATCGGGCTATAGCGCAATAGAAAGCATGCAACATGCTGCGGCAACGGACATCGATTTTGCAGCTATTGAAGCGACGACGAGTTACCAAGCCATTGAACATTTCGACCATCAGCAAGCGGATACTATGAGTGATATCGAAATAGTAAATGGTATGGATTTTAATGTACGTGAGAGACAAGCGTAAGCATTTCTTGTGTTTAGTTTAGTAAATAGTGTATGTGCGTACATACATATTGTATTGAAATGGTCTTCGTTGAGATTTCGCATTCTTTAATTACGTATTATTCATCTTGTTAAATGTCTGTCAGACATTGTCCGAATTTCGCTGAGAGCAACTTTCAGTGGTGCTTCTTTGTTTGACATTTATCGGGCTTTCTGTCACTTATTCTCCTTCTCATTTTAACAGAGAGAAGATTGTGAGCTTTTGCACAGCTGTTTGTTACAGTCGTGGCATACACAATAGTCTCACCCTACGTTGTTGCCATTATGCTCTTGTAAGACTTGTACTTTTATTTTGTTATGTCAATGCATATTTTTATATTATGTTATATTATTAAACAATATCGTCATCGATCATTAATATTCTATTCACGTCGTCGAGTTCAACCTACATATGTACATATATGTATATGAATAAGCTTTTCAACACTGCGCTTTTGCTTTGAGTTTTTCTCATTTTGGGCGAGACTCAGCGTAATGTGAGACTTTATAATAAGTAGAAATAATTGCTATAGCAGTGGATATTCGATAAATAAACTAACAAATCTATGTAGTGGGGTTTGAACAAAATATGAGAAGCAAAATAATAACTGTGATAATATAAAATTTTAATATAATATATGTATGCACTTTGGCTTCGCTGACCTCGTATACAAAAAGTTGTTTTTACTTTTGTACAACTCTGTTTACTTAAAACGGGAAAACCTCTTTAAGACTATAATAACATATATGTGCGTATATGTGTAGTTTATTTACATCATAAAATCCATAAAGCGTTAGCCAATTGTACTAAGCCTAGCTGTGATTAAATATATACGCATCTATAACTAAACAATTCTAGAGATGTGCTTTAAGACTTTGTGCAGAAAACTGTTTAGTTGTTGTCATTCTGGAAGAAAGGGTGGTTTGAATGAGGTAAGCAGTGAGTCAAGGACTAGCTTTAAAAAAATAATTATAATATACTTAAATATTCTGTTTATGTGTGCAACTTTTAAATGAAAATATCTGTATTCTGTTTATCAAGTTTAAAACCTTATAAATGAAAAATACATAAGCAATTTATATCATATATGGTATCATATATGGTACAGTTATTTTTATAATTAAACCAACTTGTGTAGGTATAGACATACGTTTAACCCTTGAAAGATAACATCCTCTTTCAATAATAATAAGTACTTTTAAGAGAACACAGTAGGCATTTTATTGTTTTGCACATGGAATTGTTGAAATGTCGATGTTATCTATTTTGGATATATTCAGCATTGAACGCAAAAGTGAACAGCTAGGAAGCATTGTAATGTAGATAATTTAAAAACTAACAATACATAATTTAATATTCACTTTAGGCGTCCTTTTATGAATACTCTGATGCGCAGCCCAAGTATTGTACCGATGAAATTGGCCAACTCTGCGAAGGCGTTAGCTTTACCTTCACTGGAAAAATTGCCATCAACTGCGAGCGGTGACTGACTGGGATAAATCATATGCGTCTGTCGTTTACTAAAATAATATATATACCCACAGATTTTCCATTAATTTTATGTACAAAAATGAATCACGGGATGTCGCACTACACATCAACCCCCGCCTTCCTCAAAACTATATTGTACGTAACACCAAAGTCCATGATGTTTGGGGCCGTGAGGAAGTGTCCTCAGCGCTGCCGTTTTTACTCCGCCGTGGGGATAGATTTGCTATTCAAGTGTTCATTACGGACGTTTGTTACATGATATCGATAAATGGTCATCACTTTACGGAGTATTCGCACCGCGTACCCTACAGCGGTGTTAAACATCTTGAAGTCAAAGGTGACGTGGAAGATGTGGAAATGCAGCGTACTATAGTTCAGAGTTACCCACAACGACTGAAAGAATCGGCAGCAAGAGTTATAGAGGAACATCTTTCTGCAGAAATGGACGAGGTTGATGCCAATGCTGAGGAGATTATTAGTATACCCCACGAGTGGTGTCTTATTAGCGCTCCCGCTAAAATAACGAAAAATTCATCAAAAACCTGCCAAGATTCTGCAGATCAAGGTCTTACGCTTCCATATTACGGCGCAATTACACCAAAATCATTAAAAGAAGGCCGTTGCTTAAAGATTGAGGGCCGTGTACGTCTGTTGCCACATTCATTTTACATAAATTTGCAGCAAGGACAGAATATTTGGCCTCATCCCGTTATTGCATTCCATTTGAATCCACGTTTTTCGCAAACGAGCAGTGGTGCCATAGGTAAAGCGGTAGTGTGCCGTAACGCTTGGTATGATGGAAGTTGGGCTCAAGAGGAACGTTCCGAATTGGACACAAACTTAAGACCGGGCCGTACATTCAGTTTGGCAATTGTCTGCTCCAAGGATTCTTTTGAAGTCTATGTTAACCATAAGTTTATTACTGAATTTAAGTTCCATGTTAAGCCAGATATTGTGGATACGGTATACATTCAGGGTGATGTAAAGCTCTGGAATGTGACATTAGAACCAAATCCAATGATTAAGGGCAAAAATGTGCGTATCTACCATAATCCTATTTATACAGAAGAGTATTAGGTTATGAAATATGTGGCACGTCTTAGAACGTTTTTTCTTTTAAAAGCTTAAGTTATACCAGTTGCCTTTAGTGACAATAATAAGCTTTTGGACCGTTTGGAAAATGTATTTTAAATCAAATTATCTAAGCAAAACGTGTGTAAAAAAAAGCATTGTGTAAGGATGCTAGTAAATTTTGTTATGTGAGCCAGAATATCAATATAAACCAGCAATCTGCTCTTTTTATTTTACTTTAATTGTGAATTATGAATAAGTTTTGAAAAAATCGCTACTCTCTGTTAATATTGTTATCATTTTCTTGTGAAAGTAACACCAAACCTAGTTTTAAGAATTAAAAAACAAATTACAGGCATATATTTTTTTAAAAATACTTGACATTGAGAATCCTGGTACCTTTATCTATATACAATTGATTTCCCATACAGTGGCTTGCATATAATAATGCACATGTGGGAAAGTATATATGTATGTATATATCATTTCAAAGTTGTAGAGAAAAATCTTGATGTGTGAATAATATTTGTACATATTTTCTTTTATTACAAATATGATTTAGTTTCAGCGTATTGGTTCTTGGCATGGTTGCATTATTTTCATATTTTTAGGCGCAAGTCTTGTTTCTTTAAATCTTATTTCTTTGACATTTTTGGCTTACTTTGTTTAAACTTCTTCGACGTACTAAGCTGCATCCTTAAAGTTATACAAAATAAAATTAAACAATAATTTTAATAATTTTGTTATTAATATGATACAAAGCTTATCAAATACTTACTTTGTGCTTGTGCTTTGGCAGCTTAAGTAATTAACCTTAATGTTAAATTTAACATTTTTAAACAAAATGTTATTTGCTTTTCAAATTTAAACAACTTTCCCATAAAAGTCCTATACCTCCTTCACAAAAAAAAAAAAAAAAAAAAAAAAATCAAATAAAGTTCCCTTATATTGTTGCTTGGTTATTTGACTTAAACTGTTTCACATGACACTTGACAAAATTATTCCGGTAAAACATTTAAAACCAACCACGCTACTTTTAGAGAGGCCGTTTATTGAGCATGCATAACAGTCGCAGGCGGCTGCAAGGCCATGAATATCTACGAGGGCGCTCGCAGCATTGCCCTACGGCGTGACTTAGATGCTATGTCCATATTCTATGAGGAGCGCAGCGCTGCCAGTCGAAGAAAACAGTTCAAGCTGATTGAGCCACCAGTGCCCGGGCTTTGCTTTTTCTTTCACGGACTAATACTTGGCGACTGCGAGCACTTTGTGATCGACTTTTTGACTAAGCGGAAAAACGAACGATGTGATACCTGCGACGTTGTTTTGCAGATCGGGGCCCGCCTACCACAAAACTACATTGTACGCAATTCGCGATTAATGGGCAAGTGGGGCCCTGAGGAAAATTCATCTAATTTACCTTTTCAGCTGAAACGTGGTAAAACCTTTTGGATGCAGGTGCTTCTGACAGACAATTCGTTTTATATTTCGGTAAATGGCTTTCACTTCGCACAGTATAACTACCGTATGCCATACAGATGGCTAACCGGGGTAGAGGTGCGCGGTGATGTATCTGACATGGTCATTGACATCTTCTATGTGACGGAATATCCAATTCGTGTCAGTCGTAGTGCGGCCACCGTTATACAATACGTGGACAAACCCTTCAGGGATTTTTCGCTTGAGGTTGATTCCACCATGCCCCTCGATTGGGTGCATATTGATGCTCCAACCAAATTCCTCGAGCGTGGCCGTAATCCCCACGCCCAGTTAACCGTACCATTCTATGGTCGAATTCAAAATGACGAAAAATTTACCGATGGCCATGTACTTCGTATCGAAGGTCGCGTTCGTATTATGCCTCAAAGTTTTAGTGTGACATTACAGCGTGGTCAGAATATCTGGCCGCAGCCGACAGTATCATTATTTTTTAGTCCTAATTTCCTACGAAGCAGTCGTGCCAAGGTGGGAAAGGCTATTATTACTAGGAGCGCCTATATAAATGGTACGTGGGTGAGTCGTGAAGTAACACGGTTACATACACATTTGGGTCCAGGCAAGGCCTTTGTCCTTATAATCGCCTGTCGGAAGAATTTTTACGAGTTATTTGTCAACAGCTATTCGCTTCTGACATTTAAACATCAGATGAATCCCGCAGATATTGATATGGTTAACATTCGGGGTGACGTTAAGCTCTGGAATGTTGTCGTTGAACGGGTCAAGCTTCCGCCGAAGCCTCCCAGTGAGTTCAATGTAAAATATTAATCTAATTTTGTTTTGCTATCTGATTTCCCAGCAGGCCGTTCTCTTGTCAGTGTTAGTCGTTTCCGGTTATATGAAAATGAAAAAGGGATTTAAAATGTATTTGGATCACATTCAAAAGAGTTTTAAATATTGTGTGCGGTACACGTGTTCAGCTCAAGAAGACAAACGCTACTTGCAGTGTCGACAAAATGTAAAAAGGACCTAGTGTTTCTTATCCCGCTTTTGGCTCGCTAACTAACCACATTCACCGAATAAACACCAGCCCCAAATGAGAGAAAATTAATAATTTCATTTTTACCTTACATTCTTACTACATATTTTTCTGCAATTAAAACAGCAAATACACAGCGCACTTTAAACAGGTCTCTGGTGCAACTGCAGGGCGCTTCCACTCATAAATGTTAACGTGCGCGCTGTCAAGTCGAGCGCAGCCCATAATAAGAATGCAGGTGGACTGTAGATTCAATTGATTATTAAAAATGATAATCGATTAAAGACGCCTCCTGCCAGTTTCGGATGCTGTGTCTGTGGGCCTGCTGCGTTTAACTGACGTTTATGTCTGCATGTGTTGAGCACGACAGTTGACATTGTTTAGGCATGTGCAACAAAAAGTGGTATCAAAATGGGCAAAGCCGAAAACGTCAAGTAGCCGGTAAATATTTTCCAAGGTTGCCAAAGGAAGTCGCTTTGTCGCAGGCAAAAAAATTAATATTATTTATGGTTCAAGTTCGAACGTGCCTCGCATTTTTCGTCTGTTTTGGTAATGAAGTGGATCACTGCCAGTCCAATGCAGCCAGTGCAGCCGACAGCGGTCTTCGTTGGCTTTAGTATTTGCTTAGTTAAACGTTCCGACTACTATATAAGTTCTTCTTTACCTGTTCAAATAATTTATATATTTTGGAGCGCGGCTCAGGCAGCAGTCTTGATTGCGTTTGCATTGAATAAAGATATAACAAGAATATATTTAATATGAATTGGGCAAGTACATTTGACAGGCAATTTAGAGGCTTGAACTAAAATATTTTCCCTCCCACTTTTTGCATAAAGTACTGCATATTAAAATTGTCGAAATCGATCGGTAAAGTCTCGACTACAAATGATGGACTTGCCGGCGAATACGGTCGTCAGGTACGTTGGCTGACGGCTCCCATTTTTTTGTAATTAATCAAACTCAGAATTAATTAGGCGTTTATGGTAAGCAGCGGCCAAAAACTCAACCTCTGCTACCTTTAAAAATGTTGTTCGTTTTGCCGCCTCTGCAATAAAAATGTCTTCGCGCGAATGAAATTATATGTCGAAATCGGCCAACAGCTCGACACAACTGTCCTTCGATCGTCCCGTGCTTGTTTCAATTACTGCAGGTTTCGTTTTCCAAGTATTGGCTGTGCAGCTACTGGTGAACCTTTTTTTTTTTGTTGTTTCGAGATGTTATTAATTATGAATTTTTTTATGCTTTTTATGATGCTGCTACTGGACGCCGTCTGATAAGTTTTCTTGATCCGTTTTCGCATTTTGTACATAACTCGGTCATCGCTGTAATTTGTCACTACTGATGACGTTATTAGCTGCATTGATTGAAGGTTAACTCTGTGTTATGTTGATGGCTCACTTCAATGCATTTTATGCAATTTAAGAGTGTACGAATTTACACTGCAGTTAAATAAGTAGTAATACCTAAAATTTGAATGAACGCCGTTTTGGACTGGGACTTTGAGTAACTACATTTAATAATTGATGCATGGGTATATTTAGAATTTATCTTTAAAAACTAAATTTAATCTGGCTGTGCACCAGATGACTACGTGTTGCAGTCGTCATTGTGGTCAATGGCCTACGATTAGACAGCCAGACGCAAAAGTTAGTCGGTGTTACCATTATTTGCTTGGTCAAGGGCTTATCAATATTCCATCTGTGTAGCACAGTCTCACAGAACGCGGTAAAATCAATGCCTCCGCAGTGCGGCACCGCTGGCCACGTTCTAAATGAAACCTCAATTGAGGTTTCGCTCTCGGCTGCCGCACCAGTAGCAGCTTCTGTCAATTGTTTGAAATGGTCATCGGAATGCAACTTGTTTCCCATATAACGCAATATCACAGTCTTGAATAATAGCCACTTTCCGACCAAATTGCGAGCCGTCCAAAAAAAAAACAAGTCATCGAAAAACTGTCCGGCATGGGTGCGCAGATATTTGAGAGAAGCAGCATCTTTACCCATACCTGAAGTATACAAAATAAAATAAAAAAGCACATTAAATCAATCAGTTTTTGTGATGTGAGTGTTGCAGTCGTGTTCTAATTCCCTCGACTCAACGGTCCGCTCTGCTTTACTCATAGTGAGTAAATTTAAAAAACTGTCAAAAATAATAACGTGCTAACTAACAAATGCGGAAGATTCAAGGAAACGTTTTGACAAGACCCGAGTGAATCTTATCCTTTAAAAAGATTGGTAGGCCTCACTAATTAGTTGAGTAATGAAAACATTGGTAGAAGGATCATTAATCATTTAATATAATCTTATTCGTAAATTTTCTTAAACTGTGTGATATATAAATTTTGTGACTTGAGGGTGCGGAAATAGGCGTTGTCTGAATATTTACAACTCGATCTTCAAAGGAGTTCATAAGCAAATTATTCCAAGTTTTGTTTTTGGAATTTAAGACATACATATTTGGGACTCCGTCCTCCACGTGTATCGCGGGTATACACGAGGGTATAGCTGAGTATTTTGGGTAGAGAACTGTGGCACGTGCTTTTTCGATGTCCAGTTAGGGCAGTGAGAATTTAATGTACACTGTTAGTAAATGTTTGGTTTAATTGTTTACCAAAAATCGCACATGCCCAGTGGAAAGCTGACACTTCCAAATTTAGAAGACAATCAACTAGCGAGTTGGGGATGAAGGCCGCTAAAACCAGTATTTCCTTTCTCCTTTTTTTGCCATTTTTGTTCTCAATTCTTTAGTGTATTCGTTCGGTGCATTTCTGCTTGCTTCTCAGAAAAAAACGAATACAACTAAGGCAAATTTTTGGTATCTGTACGTTCATATATACGAGTATAACTGTGCCCGATCAAGTCACATAGTCTTAGCGAACAAATTTGCTAACGCTTACAAAAACCTTTTGAACCAGATTGTAAGTGTTACAATGGAAACAGAGTATCCCATAGTCGCAACCCTCAACTGCGGATGGCTACTTCGATTCAGCAACATTAAAACAGAATAAAATTGTGCCGCTTCTGAAGCCTAACGAAAGCTACTGCTAAAGTTGCCTTTTCGTGTAAGCTATAAATTCACAATACGGTCGGAAACTTGTTCCCTACTGCAAACTTGGAGTCTGATCCTGCAACGTTTCAAAAATCATTGCATTAGTGTGTAGGTCGAAGGGACCGACAGCGTCGACTGCTGCTCAAGCTCCCGGTTTCTTGGAATATCGCTCGAGATCAATCTTTCACTCGTCTGATTGCATATTTTTATATGGTAGTTGGGCACATCGTTCGCATCCTTTTTCGGCGTTTCGCCCGCCAGCAACTAGTTGCTGTTTCTGTGTTTTTCTTTACCATGTGTTTCTTTTTGACATACCCTGTAACCATAACATTGGTAAGGCGCATTATGTTAAATAGCTAATAAACGACCTGATAATATAAGGTATAAAAAACATTTTCTTGGTCGGCATATGAGAATAAGTTAATTGAAACGTAACCGTCCGTATGCAGAAGACACCAAATTTAATAATTAAGTTCTTATATACTTAACAATTATCAGAGCTATTAGGTATCTTAAAGTCGAAGTTAATCGATTTGAAAATTCTTATGCCTTTATTTTCGGTTCAGGATGAAACAAATATTTCAGCGATTTCGATGCGACAACATTGTTTTATTGATTTTGTTTGCTTTGCTTTATTTAGCTCATGAGTATAATGTGAGTTCTTAACACTTGTGTTGGCCTTGCACCGCCTTATTCTCTCCCTTGTTTTCGTTGCAAGTGCGGTGCACATCCTATGCATGTCAGCTTCTGTTTGAATTTGTAAATCCATAACTTGTAAGCTACTGTCAAGTCAGTTTATGAATATGCTCTTGTCCATATGACATTGCAAATGTGTAGGTACATCAAGAAAAATAATTTACTCCCAATAGTGTTTTACTTTAAAGTAATAGTTAAATTGAAGCTACTACTTAAAGAATATGCCTCGTTCCTCATTTAACGAACCTACATATAGTACCGTTACTAATTGCATACATTCATAAAAAATAAGAAAATTAAAAAAAAAATGAAGCTCTGGCAAGCCTCACATACTATATTTTATATTTGCGAAGTGCCACATAGAGGGGAAAACACCGAAGGTTGGGCTTAAGCTGTGGCATGTTGCGTGGACACACTTGAACCAGGCGCCAATTGACTGTGTATGCCTTCTCTGCTGCGACTAGGATTCCATTTGGACCAGCCAGATACGGACAGAAGCAACTGGGCACAGCTGGCAGCAGCGTAGAAGTGTAAATTATGGGGCGCTGATAGGCATCTCTAGGCTCGCCTCGCCTAGACAATACTCGTTGGTTATGCAATAAGGGCAGAAGTATGTACAATGTGGGTGGAATCTTAATCCACGCTGCGATTGAGTGCTCCGGTATTGTGCATTTATCTGCGTGGTACAGGTACATTTTCCTTCTGGTTGACGGGGTAACCAGGTGTTGCTCTCGCACAATTAGTAGTCCTGGCGCGGTCTGGCGCTGGCTGTTGGGCAAAATTGATGACCAGCAATTCGCAAAGTTGTCGGCACAGGGTTAATGTTATAACTGAAGAGGCGCCAGTGACTTCGTGTTACATTCGCTTGACTTATGACTATAAATTCCTTTTGTATACCTTAGTCAATCGTGCGACGATCAGGACGCATACTAAATAGACTGCACAACTTTTATATGTCGAACAGTAAACACGCTCCTTCAGATGTTTAAATCGTAGAAATGGTATATATTTAAATATTTCGAACTCAGGTGGTACTTTTCAGTTAATATTAGCGCCAACCATCATTTTCATATTAATGGATAGCAGATATTCCTGGCAAAGTTAAGATATCTGTCGTCAAGGCTACATCTGGTTTGTGTCTGCGCGCATGCTCACCCCCTATTTACACAAATCCCAAATCGAGTTCCTGTCTGCTACGCCAGTCACAAACGGAAAAAAAATGCAAAAAGTCCAAGAAGGCGATGCTAGAAGATTACAGACAATTTTGTGATAATTGGGCACAATGTGGGGTTCATGTACTGTGGTTGCCTCATTCCGATTGCAGTTCGGTTCCACTTGGCACTTCAGGCGCTGAAATCTCTTCTGCCGTGCACCCAATTAAAAA